GGGGAAACACGTGCCTCCCGACTGTGCTCCGGTGTTGTCATTCTGTCATATGCTCCCCTGATAGAAATTACAACCAGTTGTAAGTTGTACCGACACACATTGCGCAGGCATGGCCCATAATCATTATCAGGAATCCAGTCCAGAACAGTGATGTGCAGCCTACGCTTCAGCAAGTGCATACAGACAGGAAGGGGCTGAAGGAGATCAGCAGCACTGAGATGGGGGAAAAGAAGGAAAACAAGGTGAAAACAGCATTCTAGGAAAATTGTATCTAGTTAGTGTATAGCATGTAGGCTCTTTACAAAATAATCTAGAGTGGGTGACTGGGGACAAAGAAGGCAAATTTATTAAATACCTTCTTCAGCTCTGTGTATACAAAGGAGCATGGGGGAGCTCTTGTCCATAATGGGTATGGTATTGACACAGCTCCAGATGATCCACATTGGCTCACAATTGATATGATCCAAAAATATTTAGACAATAAAGGTGAATAAAGCACCTGGACCGGATGGCATACACCCACGGGGCCTTAAAGATTTGAGCTCTGTCATTTTAAAGCCATTGTTTCTAATTTTTAGGGACTTTTTAATGGCTGGCATAGTACCACTGGATTGGTGTAAGGCCAATGTGGTGCCAATAATTAAAAAGGGGTCAAAAATCTTTACCAAGTAATTATAGACTTGTTAGTTTAACTTCTATAGTTATAGTATACTGAAGAGGTTAATAAAAGACCACATAGATAAGTTCTTGCTGGAAAATAATAATTTAAGCAACAGACAGCATGGATTCATGAAAGACAGAAGTTGTCCGACAAATCTGATTTCTTTTTACGAGGAGGTGAGCAAAACCTCACACAGAGGGGTGGCGGTGGACGTGGTATACTTGGACAGAAGGGTGGCGGTGGATGTATACTTGGACAGAAGGGTGGTGTTGGACATGGTATACTTGGACAGAGGGTGGCGGTGGATGTATACTTGGACAGAGGGTTGCCTGTCTGTATGTAAAAATCTGTATGTAAATGGATAGAAAACTGGCTAAAAGATCGTATTCAGAGAGTAGTGGTTAATGATTCATAGTCTGAATGCTCTAGGGTTGTCAGTGGTGTACCCCAAGGTTCAGTGTTGGGACCCTTACTTTTTAATATATTTATAAATATTCTCGGGTCTGGGATAAAAAATCCCATTTCAGTATTTGCAGATGACACCAAGCTGTGCAGTGGAATAAAGTCCTTACAGGATGTCTCCAATTTACAAGCCGACTTCAATGGTCTGTGTAATTGGGCAACTATGTGGCAAATGAGGTTTAATGTTGATAAATGTAAGGTTCTGCACTTGGGGGCTAAGAATATGCATGCATCATACATACTAGGGGGGTACAACTGGGGGATCAATGGTGGAGAAGGATCTGGGAGTTCTGGTAGATCACAAGCTTAATAATGGTATGCAATGCCAAGCTTTCTAAAGCGAGCAAAATCCTCTCTAGAGAGAGAGAGAGATCAATTCCCCCGGTACAAATCATTAGTAAGACCTCATCTGGAATATGCAGTTCAGTTTTGGGCACCAATTCACAAAAAGAACATTGGGGAACTGGAGAAAGTACAGAATAAGGCAACTAAACTGATAAGAGGTATGGAGGAGCTCAGCTATGAGGAAAGATTAGAGGAACTGAATTTATTCTCTCTTCAGAAGAGGAGATTAAGGGGGGATATGATCTCATGTATAATACATAAGGGGGGATATGATCTCATGTATAATACATAAGGGGGGGATATGATCTCATGTATAATACATAAGGGGGGATATGATCACCATGTATAACACATAAGGGGGGATATGATCTCCATGTATAATACATAAGAGGGGATATGATCTCCATGTATAATACATAAGGGGGGATATGATCTCCATGTATAATACATAAGGGGGGATATGATCACCATGTATAATACATAAGGGGGGATATGATCTCCATGTATAATACATAAGGGGGGATATGATCTCCATGTATAATACATAAGGGGGATATGATCTCCATGTATAATACATAAGGGGGGATATGATCTCCATGTATAATACATAAGGGGGGATATGATCTCCATGTACAATACATAAGGGGGATATGATCTCCATGTATAATACATAAGGGGGGATATGATCTCCATGTATAATACATAAGGGGGGATACGATCTCCATGTATAATACATAAGGGGGGATACGATCTCCATGTATAATACATAAGGGGGATACGATCTCCATGTATAATACATAAGGGGGGGATATGATCTCCATGTATAATACATAAGGGGGGATATGATCTCCATGTATAAATACATAAGGGGGGGTATGATCTCCATGTATAATACATAAGGGGGGATACGATCTCCATGTATAATACATAAGGGGGATATGATCTCCATGTATAATACATAAGGGGGGGATATGATCTCCATGTATAATACATAAGGGGGATATGATCTCCATGTATAATACATAAGGGGGGATACGATCTCCATGTATAATACATAAGGGGGGATACGATCTCCATGTATAATACATAAGGGGGGATATGATCTCCATGTATAAATACATAAGGGGGGGTATGATCTCCATGTATAATACATAAGGGGGGATATGATCTCCATGTATAAATACATCAGTGGTTCATATAGTGAACTCGGTGTAGTTATTCACCCTGAGGTCATCACAGAGGACAAGGGGGAACTGTTTACGTCTGGAGGAAAATAAATTTAATCTCTAAACACGGAAAGGTTTCTTCACAGTAAGAGCTGTGAAAATGTGGCATAGACTTCCTCAAGAGTTGGTTCTGGGCAGCTCAGTGGATTGCTTTAAAAAAGTCCTGGATTCTTTCTTGGATACACAGAATATAACTGGATACTAACATTTATAGGTAAAGTTGATCTAGGGAATATCCGATTGCCTCTATGGGGGATCAGGAAGGAATTTTTTCCCCTGCAGGAGCAAATTGGATCATGCTTTGCTGGTTTTTTTTGCCTTCCTCTGGATCAACTGTCGGAGAAGGATTATAATTTTTTTTTTTTTTTTTAATTTAATGGTTGAAGTGGATGGACTTTTGTCTTTTTTTTAGCCGCACTAACTATGTAACTATGTATAGATCTACTTCAAACTTCTGGATGCCACTTATGTATGTTTGGTTCTGATTGGTTGCTATAGAGTAACAGAGGAGGCTCCTTTTGCTGACATTGTTATAACTGAGGCCCAGTAGATACCCAGACATTTGGTTAAAAATGATTGTGAAAGAATTGTGGTAACTCATATGTTTTGCACAGTACAGACAATTGAAATAAAGATTGTTAACATATTAAAAGTTTTTCTTTTAAATTTACTGGCACATGTAAACTCAAGCTGAACATTATCTGCTCAAATCCTGGGAAATACAGAGTAGCCCAAATCTCTTGGGAAGATAAGCTTGCAATGGACCGGATTGTCTTCTTGTGAGTTTGCAAAAATAGTTTGCAGGACTTTTAAAATACACACACATCCAGAATATATTTTACATTAAAGTGTTACTAAACCCAAAACAGTACAATCAGTCTGTATATGCAGTAAAGCATGCTTGTTATACTCACTGTGGAACCTAAGGGGTTAATCCTCCACATGTAAAAAGGCTGTTTGATCCTCTCTTCTCTAAACCTCCCTTTCTTCTACTGTCCCCAATATATCTCCTGATGGGATAGCGCCTTGGGGGCAAGCTGCACATGCTTAGTTTGGTGTGTATTGCTAGAGAGTTTTTTTTTCTTTTTTCTTGGGAGAGTGCATGTGATCAACACTGTCCAGACAGAGGGTCTGGGGTCCAGCAGCCTTAGGACAATCAGCGGAGAATAAAAACTCCTCCTACAAGCTTTAACTAGTGCTCTGCTAGACACTGATAGAAGTCGCAAGACTGCTATATACTGCTAATAAGAAAAGATATTTAGCAGTTTATATTTACTAAAATAATTGCATTTCCATGTTGTGTGTACTGTGGGAGACCAGATATAATGAATGCAGAGTCCGGGGAGACCAGATATTGTGAATGCAGGGTCCGGGGAGACCGGATATAGTGAATGCAGGGCCCGGGGAGACCAGATATAGTGAATGCAGGGTCCGGGGAGACCGGATATAGTGAATGCAGGGTCCGGGGAGACCAGATATAGTGAATGCAGGGTCGGGGGAGACCGGATATAGTGAATGCAGGGTCCGGAGAGACCGGATATAGTGAATGCAGGGTCCGGGGAGACCAGATATAGTGAATGCAGGGTCCGGGGAGACCAGATATAGTGAACGCAGGGTCCGGGGAGACCAGATATAGTGAACGCAGGGTCCGGGGAGACCAGATATAGGGAATGCAGGGTCCGGGGAGAACCAGATATAGTGAATGCAGGGTCTTGGGTTTAGTAACACTTTTATTGGTATACAAACATGAAAAATTACTTCTTAAAAACAACCAACTAAACAGCTAATTATATTATACACTCTTCAACATGAACTCTTATATTGTATTCACATGTTAATTTATGACCACTACAGGTAAGTATAATATCTATCTTTTTTTGCATGCGTCTTTTGCATATACTTTCAACGTGGATATTAGAAGCAGATCTTACGTTGTACTACAGCTCATGAATTAATTATCTCTTTGGTCACTTTTTTTAATGTATTTAATTGAGAAAATTACTCAGGTAGGTATCCAGTTTCTAGGCATTCCGAAGGTTAGGCCTAGCAAAAATAAACATGTAACTGTATTGTTGCATAATGGGAAGCTATAGCATTTTCAAGTATGAAAATTAATAGGGAAAAAAAAGGGGAGGGGATACAAATATTGAACAATAATCAATGGTTCTGTACAATATCTACATGTGATCAAGGATTGCTAGGTCACAATTTTATTGACATTCCTGTTTTCTGTTACAGGAGATGTCATCCAACTTGTAAATACCAAGTCATCAGTCCACAAAGGAGGCAAGCCGTGTGGTGCTCTGAACAATGTGACAGTAGCCTCTAAAGCTTACAATCTGTCCTCCGACCTCATGAGGATCATGATGAAGTCCAGAGTGCTGAACGAGGAACCCTTGACCTTACAAGGAGGAGAAATTCTGGCCAGAGGCAAACGTTCAGATCCACTTAATCTGCTCTGCTACAGTAACAGAACAGGCTGTCAGTTCTTTATACCTCAGGGCTTTAATAGCACCTTCCCAGATTTAACGGACATTATCCAGGTCATGATCCAAGTGGATTCCAACCCTTACCCCTTTGGCTTCATCAACAACTACACCGTCTCCACTAAGGTAGCCTCTATGGAATTCCAGACCAGTAATGGCAGTCAGATCCCAGTGGAGAGTCTGGATTCTGAAAAGGCAATCACTGTTAGTGTCGCCAATAACACTGGTGTTGGCAATATTACAGCAGGTGTGGCTACGATTGAGAGCCGGCGATCCGTGAAAGTGGACATTGAAGCAGAGAGCAGTAATGAAAATGCAGGCCTTCACATTCAAATTACCTATAAAGTCCTAGATGGTGAGTAATTATATACTGTTTATCATAAATGAACATACATTATGTTAAAAAAAAACATATATTTATTCATCCAAAGTTAGTCTTTCAGTTATAGAGGAGGTCTGGTGGGCTGGGGCATCCACTTGCTTTTTATATCTTGTGGGCAATCCAGAAGCAAGATTTCTCCACCATAATTCCATATTCTGTCTCTGCCCACTTTGGAGTCCGACTCCCCCTGTTGCATCAGAGTATTCTGCTGAACCTTTTCGTGGTGGTAACAGTAAGAATGCAGAGCTGGGAATTCAACTGAGTATTTTCGCCTTAAAAGACCCCAAGAGTTATTCCCCATCATTTACCAAAACTCATAATGAGATCATCCACAAGGCACCCTAGGCAGGAGCCAGGGGCCCAATGGATTTTCAGGGTGGGGCCCAATGGATTTACAGGGTACGGGCAGGGGTGGTGCCCGCTATGATTTTCATGCTCTTGCAGAAAACCAGGGAGAGAGTTAATTGGTCAAAGCTGTGCACAAGGGAGGGTGGACTTGTGGAAAGTTAATGCCTGTTTGGGCAAGTACTGTGCCTACTGCAATCTTTTTCAAGGTCAATGGACGAGATTGGGTACGGCAACACTACTACCTTGCCTAGGGCCCCATTTTCCATTGATCTGTCTCTGCCAAAACTGGAATATTAGTTTTGGTTGAGCTGACCTTTAAACTCCCGTAGAGCAGTGTATTGGTTTAAAGGCACCATCAACCCAGAAGAGATTTTTTTTAGCTCTTAAAAGAATTCTGTGAGCAAAATTAAAATTTCGGCAATGAATGGATTTTGTTGCCTGAATCTCCCACATCCTGTATTGCCCAGAGATCTCCCATTTTGTAATTTCTTGTTTTACTCCACTCCACTATTTTTCTGCTCCTGGTGAAGTCTCCTCAATGTAAAGGTTACTTTGACAACAGAGGACTGTCAAAAGACCATCTAAAGTCTATGTGCCAGCACCCTACTGGCCCTGAACAACCGTTCTTGAAGGGACAGAGGAAATTAATCTTGTCCAACTGTATGCCCCTACCCCTTTTCCTATCTATTACCAAGACTGGGATTCTGGCACCATTAGAGCATTCCTATTAGGTCAGACAAAAAAAGAAAAATCAATGAACAACAATTTTTTTTTCAGTCGTCAAATAAAAAAGAGGACTAGTACTTGGCTTTCCCATTGCTCATGCCTCTAGTCTTGGCTTTCCCATTGCTCATACCTCTGGTATGCTGATGACTTTTGAAGTCTTCAGCACACAACACTTTGTGTGTTGGTTGACTGGCCCATGTGTTTTCTGTGGTTCTAGCCACCCCCCCATGCCTCTACAGGACACAGTAGTGACGTAACGGATGGCCAGTGAAACCAGAGCGCACACAGGGGACCAGTCATTTAGCACTCCTGGAAGTGGGTTGAATGCTGAAAATTCTTCCTACAGCATAGCTCTTCAAGAGAGCCAAATTAGAAGAATTGGAGGGAGGATAAAAAGGCACTACTCCTCTGATTTTAAAGGCACATAATTTTTTACACGGCAGTGAGTTGCTTTAATGACCGTAGAAGAGGCTCTAAGGACTCTTGCACATGGGCTCCAAAAACGGCACTTTTTAGGCGGTCTTTTTTTTTTTATACTGGTTTGAGTGCAGGCCATTGCTTTCAATGGGCCTGTACACACATATACACTCATATTAGAAAACTAGTGCCACATTTAGATCAGTAAAAAGAAAAAATACAAAAAAATCTGCATTACCAGTCAGTTATTTTCGCACGTGCACCTCCCACTTGAATAATAGTTTATACCATTTGAATATGTGGCATTCTGGAAGCGCTTTTGTGCGCATATAGCTGTGTAAACGCGTATACTATATAGACCATACTCACATTTTTTGTGCAGGAACTTTCTGCCAGGATGATGTTCCTATTTTAGTACCGTGTGCAGGGACTCTTAGGCCTGTTGCACACGGGAGTAAAAAATTAGTTTTTTACTGATCTGAAATGAGATGCACTGTTGTCTATGAGACATTGCACACAGCTGAGTAAAGATCAGTAATACAGCTTTGAGTACAGAGCAGTAAAGAAAAAATAGAAAATTTTACATTTTAGTGCAGTAATTTCTTGCGTGTTTACTCGTTTACTTTTTTACGGGAGTATAAATGAGTATATTACGACACTGGCAATGAAGATTAATTATACTCATCTATACGCTTACACACCTTTACTATCCTATATTCAATATTTCTCAGTTCTTTACACACAGTTTTTGGCCCCTTGCACACAGGCGACACAAATTCCTGAGTAAACATCTGTAAAATATGACACCCGTGTGCAAGGGGCCTTAGTTCCCATTCCTGTGTAAGGACCTTCCTAGCTCCTTGAATGTAGTTAGCTCTGCAGAAAATCAAAGCAACCAATCAGATATAACCTTTTAGCGCTCTAACATTAGACGAAATAAATCTAATTGTAGTTTATATTTAAGTTTTGCACTCTTTTATTAAAGAGGCACTGTCGCCAAATTAAAAAATGCATAAAAAAAGCACAAAATATTGTAACGCAAATAATTATGAAAATAAAACTGTTTTTTTTAAGTTGTTTTTTATTCACTTGCAATGTGCCTTTGCGCTTGCTAGAAAATTTGACTATTCCAAGAAAAGTCAATTCCTTAGCACAGTCCCCTCCCTTCTTGCACATCATAGCCCTTTCCTCTTTTGTGAATGTCTGTCTGTGGTGCTGGCTCAGCTCCTCTGCCCTCACCACCCCACATGACCTTTTATATAGCTGGGGAGGGGGGGAAGTGGAATACTTGGGGAGTATCACTTGAGAGACAGCTTCGAGTCTTCTGGGATTGCTGGCATCACATCCAAGATGATGGCATCCACCAACAGTCGCAGGACTTTTGGAGATCTACATAAGGGAGGCTTTCACAGGTAGTTCAGATGCATAAAATACCTTATTTGCACTTATAATTTTCTGCACATTTTTTGTTGAAATTAATATTCTGGTGATGGGACCTCTTTGAATAAACTTGCTGTTTCTATTCTTTATAGGTGTTTATTAGGCTTTTTTTTTTTTGTATTTATTGAAACGTCTGCTAGTGAAACTGATCTTCTCTGTCTCTGCTCAGAATGGTATTCCCACATGGAAAAAGAGCCGTACATCTCCACCTATCTTCATGAGACCGATCATCCCAACCAGTACAATTACAGCATCATGAAGCAGGTCACATTGGATGCTATAAAGGAAGAGGACCATAAGCTGTACACATTCTTCATCGCTCCCATGTAAGAGAATAGCTGACAGATGGTATGGTAGATGTGGTTGGCTAAAGGTGCCTACACACGGGTTGATCTCCAGTGGCCCAATCCAAACCTGATTAGAGATATTGAATGTATGTAAAGCCTAAACTTTTTTCTTGGTTTTGGATAGAGTAAGTACTCACTGCTGCTTCTTTAGAACAGGAGGTGAAGACAATTCTCCCCTTGGGATGGCGAAAAAAGAAACTGGCAGCAGTTTTAACCATCCTCTATTCTTTATTGAAACTAAAAATTAATTTTTGGCCATTCTGTAATGTATCATGGGGATATCCAGCCCACCGCAATCAACCAAAGTAATGTATAAAGTTTAGAAGGCACTACCTTAAAATCTGTGTTATATTACAGCAAGAGTTTTATATATTAATGACCATTATCTTGTAGATTTTTTTTAAAGGTAATTTAAATTGTTTTTTATATACAGAACAAAGAGAAATAGAATAGGGCACATAAAGACAGGCCGGTAGTACACAAAATAGGAAATAAATTCCTTACCTAATCAAGTACATATGCATAGAAGCCTATCAAAGTAACGTAACCAAAATCTCAGCTGGTGAGATTACATCATAGGATACAAAAGAGGAAAAAAAAACACATGTAAAAGATCTCAAGAAGTACGATCAAACATAAATATAAATCATTGCTTTCAGGACCACAAGGACATCATTATACAGTCCTACCACAAGCTCAAAATAATCAAACCTCTATATCAGTCCCTAACCCTCAAGTGGCGTACAATCTAAGGTCCCTAACTCACATTCATACATACACATACTAGGGCCAATTTAAACAGGGTCCAATTCACCTACCAGCATGTCTTTGGAGTGTGGGAGGAAACTGGAGTACCCGGAGGAAACCCACGCAGGCACGGAGAGCATGCAAACTCCAGGCAGGTGGTGCCGTGGCTTGGATTCGAACCAACAACCCCAGTACTGTCATGCGGAAGTGCATGGGCAGCACAGTGGCTAAATGGTTAGCACTTCCGCCTGGCAGTCACGAGACCACGTGACGTAACGCGTAGGCACGCTAAGACGCAACCTCCGGTATCCGAAGTGACGCACTTCCGGTGCGGGACGCCATTTTCCTGGTTATCAGGAAGCAAAACACGTGTGCAGTTTGCCCATATAGGGACAGAAAAATCGCTGTACAAACAATTGGGAGTTACTTTTTGCTATTTCTTAATTAAACTCTGGCATATTGGAAATACTACACTATGGAGGATCTATCTTTTTTTGACTCACTAATATGTGAGAGAGAGTTTGCAGAGAGTCGCTGGTGAGGATCCTATGAGGCACAGCAGTGAAGGTGTGGAGGAGGCCAAATAGGAGTATCAGAGAGGTACCAAACCAGGATTCTTGAGGATCCAGAGTGATCCTAAAGGCTTGTAGGCCCCTAGGGGTCGTTGGAAGGAGGTGAGCAGGCATTGCAGCCGAAGTGGAAAGGAGTGTGTTTTTTACACGAGTGGCACTATATATATAAAGACACACTGCATGTATATAAATATCACTTGGAGCATATTGATTTGGATTTGAACATTGGACGTTGAATTAAGTCGATGTGGCACCATCACATGATATTGATTTATTTATTTTTTTGAAGTGGCACTATCACAAAATTTATGTATAATTAATGGAATATGAGTTTATATTGATTTTTGGGATATAGGAATATATGTGTATGTATTAAGTGGCATGCAAGAGCACTGAGAGGATTATAGCATTAATCACAGAGTATATGCATTATATATGATTTTTATTTTATAAATAGTATATTTGTTTTTTTTGGTTTAATGAATGTTTAGCGCTACACTAATTTAAATATATATTTGAGCACTGTTTTGGGTACCAGTTTGAGTGTTAGCAGCTGAAAAATTAGGAGGGGAGGTTCCATAGAAGCGCAGGAGGACTTAGAATAAGTTTTATGTAGCGTGTCTCTAGTCTCTGCCTATCTCCTGTATTGTCTCTAATCCCCCCACTGTTACACATCTGCAGTCTCTGATCATCTCCTCTGTTATGTCTCTAATCCCCCCACTGTTACACATCTGCAGTCTCTGATCATCTCCTCTGTTATGTCTCTAATCCCCCCACTGTTACACATCTGCAGTCTCTGTCTATCTCCTCTGTTATGTCTCTAATCCCCCCACTGTTACACATCTGCAGTCTCTGTCTATCTCCTGTATTGTCTCTAATCCCAGCACTGTTACACATCTGCAGTCTCTGTCTATCTCCTGTATTGTCTCTAATCCCCGCACTGTTACACATCTGCAGTCTCTGTCTATCTCCTGTATTGTCTCTAATCCCCCCACTGTACACATCTGCAGTCTCTGCCTATCTCCTGTATTGTCTCTAATCCCCCCACTGTACACATCTGCAGTCTCTGCCTATCTCTTGTATTGTCTCTAATCCCCCCACTGTACACATCTGCAGTCTCTGTCTATCTCCTGTATTGTCTCTAATCCCCCCACTGTACACATCTGCAGTCTCTGTCTATCTCCTGTATTGTCTCTAATCCCAGCACTGTTACACATCTGCAGTCTCTGTCTATCTCCTGTATTGTCTCTAATCCCCGCACTGTTACACATCTGCAGTCTCTGTCTATCTCCTGTATTGTCTCTAATCCCCGCACTGTTACACATCTGCAGTCTCTGTCTATCTCCTGTATTGTCTCTAATCCCCCCACTGTTACACATCTGCAGTCTCTGCCTATCTCCTGTATTGTCTCTAATCCCCGCACTGTTACACATCTGCAGTCTCTGCCTATCTCCTGTATTGTCTCTAATCCCCCCACTGTTACACATGCAGTCTCTGATCATCTCCTCTGTTCTGTCTAACATCTATGATTGTCTTCTTTCACATACTGGATAATACAAAACTAACTATATGTATCTTTCTCTTTTTCTCGCTCTTGCTGTAGAGTGGATTCTCAGAGGCTGATACCAAGTCAAATCCAGGTCTTTACACTGTTTTAATTTAAAAATATGTCTTATGGTTTGTAAAATATAGAGAACTTTTTTCATTTTAATTTTTCTATTAATGTGTGTAGTTTTTTCCCTGGAGTTCAGCTTTTACCTCAACTAACCCTTTGCTCTAACCTCAAAAACCCTAATCTAATCCCATTCCATTGCACTAGATTGAACTCAAAAGAACTCAAAGAGTGCAAAAAAAAAAAAAAACCCAACAGGAATACCTACCTTATTCCTGGCTTCTGCATGCCATACAGTCAGTCCTCATACAATGCAGGACCTGCGTCGGGAGATGGTGGGGTCACTATATAGCAATTTTTGTTGTGCTGTTCAGCTTTGATGAGTAACTCAAGCCAGCAATGTTTTCTCTACCATCCATTTATGGGCACAGAGCATTGGATTGTTGTAAGCAGTGCCGGATTTAGACCTTGGGGGGGCCTGGGGCACTACAAGTTCGGGTGCCCCTCAACATAGAGATTAAATTATAAGTGAAAAAATTGAACTGAAATGAACGAGAAACCGCATTTGTTCTAAAAAAAATATATGTTAGGTTTTGAAGAAGACGCGTACACTATATTGCCAAAACTATTGGGACACCCCACCAAATCATTGGATTCAGGTGTTCCAATCACCTCCATGGCCCTCCATGGCCACAGGTGTATAAAATCTTCACCTAGGCTTGCAGACTGCTTCTACAGACATGTGTGAAAGAATGGGTCGCTCTCAGGAGCTCAGTGAATTCAAGCGTGGTACCACTTGTGGGAACTTTGTGGGAACAGTTTGGGGATGGCCCCTTCCTGTTCCAACATGACTGCACACCAGTGCACAAAGCAAGGACCATAAAGACATGGATGAGCCAGTTTGCGGTGGAGGAACTTGACTGTCCTGCACAGAGTCCTGACCTCAACCCCATAGAACACCTTTGGGATGAATTAGAGAGGAGACTGTGAGCCAGGCCTCCTCCCCCGACATCAGTGCCTGACCTCACAAATGTGCTTCTGGAAGAATGGTCCAACCTTCCCATAGACACCCTCCTAAACCTTGTGGACGGCCTTCCCAGAAGAGTTGAAGCTGTTATAGCTGCAAAGGGCGGGGCCAACCCAATATTGAACCCTACGGACTAAGACTGGGATGCCATTAAAGTTCATGTGCGTGTAAAGGCAGGCCGACCAATACTTTTGGCAATGTAGTGTAACTTATTTTTTTTTTCAATTTTATTGACTAAGATTACAAGTTGCAGGTATTTGTCATACATCACAGAAACCAGAAGTCCTCATCCCTTTCTTTCCCACTGAAGTCAGGCATACATGTTCTGCATCCAACTGCATTTCTGTGGTTAAAGTGTTACTAAACTCACAACAGTAATATCAGTCTGTAGATGCAGTAAAGTATGCTTGTTATACTCACTGTCGAACCTAAGGGGTTAATCCTCCGCATTTTGTAAAAAAAAGGCAAATGCAATTATTTTAGTAAATATATTATATTAAATCATTAAGTAAAGTCTTCAATCCAGACTTTCTTTCCTCATCAGGAGTGAAGTCAGGCATACAACAGTTTGTTCTGCAAACTGCATTTCTGTGATCCTGTTAAAGTGTTACTAAACTCACAACAGTAATATCAGTCTGTAGATGCAGTAAAAAGTATGCTTGTTATACTCACTGTCGAACCTAAGGGGTTAATCCTCCGCATTTTGTAAAAAGGCATGGAAATGCAATTATTTTAGTAAATATAAACTGCTAAATACCTTTCCTCATCAGCAGTATATAGCAGTCTTCCTGTCTGTGATCCTGTCTTCTATGCCTCTCCTCTAGTTGAAATGTCTATCTGATTCAAACTGAATCTGTAGTCACATGCACATGCTCAGTTTGGTGTGTATTGCTAGAGAGTTTTTTTTTGTTCTTGGAAGGGTGCATGTGATCAGCACAGGGCCAATCAGCACTGTCCTGGGGTTTCATATCCTCCTAGAGCAGAAAGAAAACTCCTACAAGCTTTAAACAGTATTCTGCTG